ATGATTGTTATTTGATTATTAGTGTATTCTCTTACTATTTGTTTATGCGATCATGACTGTGGGGAATCTACGGATTTTCAGCAACTTGGACTTTTGGGGTCTATATTGCACATTCTGTCATATCTCATAATGTATATGTTTGTATAATAATAAGTTGGTTGAAGAGTTGAAACTTAGACCAAGAGATTGACTGCCTTTTTGGAGGGTCAAACTCACTATTACTAATTCAAATCTTCCAATTATTGGTGCTGTTTTTTCTTCCTCTATCTGGTTTTCCACTTTTTTTTTTAGCTAAGTCAAAACTTGGACTACCAAAAGAAAACATACTAATGGAGATGTCCTTAAAACAAAAAGAATCGAGATGCCATATTTTCCATTATAATCTTGTATTGTTATCTAGAAAAGCCACACGAATTATATGTATTTTTGTGAATAGTGGACTGTGTGAACTAATAAGGATGTTTAAAGAATACCTAATACGTTAGGATTAGGAAATATAATTTATATGATCACTAAGAACAGTATATTATTTTATTTTGGCACAAAATTTGGTGTATTAAGTATTAACCCTCACTCATGCACTAATCTAATTTCCTTTTATAGGTTATTTCAAATCACTAGTTTACTACTACTTGGCTTATCACAAAGGATTAAACGGCTAAAGTACATCGTCAATATAATATGCACAATAATGACTAATATACCAATTGAGTTATCAATAATTGGATCTTTCTTTCTTTTCTTTTTTTTTGTTTCCTTCCGTAATTCGTAACGAACCCTAGTTTTATAGTAACGATTCTTTTATAGGAGTCGAAATAAAATTTCGCAACAAAATTTCTCAACTTTAAAAATCGTATATAAGGTTGTCGGGACATTTTGAGAAACCTGAAATTTTTTGTTGAGCAGGTTTCTAATTTAGGCCTTTAATTTTTAGAAGGAAACAAGTTTCTTGATGTAACTAATTCGGCCCAGTGGTACGCAAAGACAAATACTACTTCATAGGCCATTAATTAATGACCCAATATTGGCCGGCCATCTTAAAGAAAAAAAACTTATATTAAAAGGAAAAATTATAAACGTGTCAAAACAACTTTTTGATTTATTTATTAGTAAAGAGTTGAAGCCTTTATACTTTTTATGGTGTACTAGTGATTGAAGCTTCGTTAAGCCTCACCAAGTACTTGCTGACAGAATTATAACCCTATATATATATATTTGGACTGATCTTACGGTTAATATGCTAAGCTCTGATCGCTCATTGGTGTTGGGTTGATACTATAAATTATTCTAACGAATCTCTCAGGTCGTAAGAGTATGTGTCACAAAAAAATATATGGTTACAAGAAACATGATTACATTATGTTTATGTAACCAAACAAAATCTATAAAAATTGATTGGTACAACTGGTACGTATCAAGCAGATAGGTGTAATCATATATAGTTGTTTATGAAGTGTTCACTAAATGATACAAGGCGGTACCGTAAACATATATAATTGGTAACTTGGTATAACATATTTCTCAAAGATAAGTAAATAATGGTTTTGGCTAACCCGATGTGTATTATAGTTTACTATTGATATCGAGGAATATTTGGATCGTTAAACCGGCTCGATTTATAAAACGTTAATGATTATGATTATGATTATATATATGTAATATGGTTTTGGTCTAGTCAGGCTACAAACTTTTAGTTTTTGTCATCGATCGGTTTTACGATTTTGCATATTTTGATATGTATGTATTACAAATCGGCTCCAATTTTTATAACGTTTTAGGATTATATATACATACATCTTTATAGTATTAGTTAGCTACTGAATTATATATGTGAGCTTAATTTTGCCAACATATAGAGAAATAGGTTCTCAAGGAAGAATAGAAGAGGAAAATGAAAAAAAAAACAATAAATCAGAGTTGGCCGAGATTACGCAATGACTTAGGAAAGTAGAACCAAACTGTTTTATATTATATAGTTTGGTTATTGAATCTTGACCTAGCTACAGAAAATGACTCAGAAACCACTAATTTATGAACTACCAAAAACGACGTCCACTATTTAATATATTGAGATGACGATATGCTCTCATGATCTTATTCTTTCCCCTTTCATAACCATTGAATAAAAAATATTGCTCCTCATCAGAAATTACGTACGGCACGTGCCAAATTAGTTCCCCAATAGCTTCACTTCATGTCTTGAAGAGTTCTTCTTTGTTCGTGATAAAGAATTGTGTTGAAGTTGCGTATACAACTGGTGCATGCGATTCTAAAGCTGTATCTTTCTCTATCTCACTTTTGATCAGCTTCGTCAAACATTATATATCAAAATATGATTTTATCCACAAAGAAAAAATATTAGACATGTGCGGTAATCTATTTCGGATTACATATAATAATATACACTCTAGAAGAACTTTTTCGTACGGCAATTAAACTAATACTGATCTAAAGCAGGTCAAGTCTCTCGAGTTGGTAATGAAAATTAATGCAAACAAGTAGAAATCTAGTTACCAATACTACTGTTGAAGCTGAAGATGGACGACCTCGTCAACATCTTATGATAAATGAAAATTAAATATATATTTCTCAAGATAATAAACTAAGCTCTCTCTTATACTGAGAAATTACCTGATATTTGGATATGAACACTGTAGTATAGTCTATCTATTCCTAACCAATAACAAAAAAACAAACCTGTGTATTCTTGAATATATATATTAGGTTAACCTTTTATCTCACATTATCTTTTAACATTTTTTAAAGCTCTATCTTTGTGGTACAATAATGCGTTTGAAGTAATGTGATATATATCGACTTGTATCACCAGTGGCCAATCAAAACACAACTTCTACGCAGTTAGTGTGACGTGACTTGTTTCTATTGGAAGGAGATGCGTGCTACTCTATCTTCTTTGTCTTTTTTGGTGTTTCCATTTGTTTTGCTGTCTGTCATCGACTTTCCCGACATGATCCACTGTAAGTTAAGTTTTTAGGTTTCATCTACGGGAATTTGATAAATAGATCAAAGGTCTTCCTGTTTTGTTTTCTTTCAGTCTCAAGTTTATCCAACACAAAACAAGTTACAAGACCATCCATTGAGTTTTCCTAACAAAAAACACCAATCCCCACATTTTGGTAATACGATCAGTATTACAAGTTAGAATTTGAGATCAAGAGTAATATACTCGAAAATTTGAAACCTCCCCGAATCATGCACTCACATGAAAATTAGGTTTGTGCTTATCACTCGTCTGAATATTAACAAGAAAATTAAATAGAAAACATTATCTTTTAAAACTGATATCACGTCTCAACGAGGACCAGATTCGCAAGAGTTTATTTCCCATTCGACCAAGATGACAAAATAGTCGATACAGCAACATATACAATAGAAATGTATATATTTTTTTCATGTCGAACTAATTGAATGTGAATGTATAGTAAGTCGTATGAAATGTATTTCGGAAATTAGTTAGATGTTAGAGTGGAATAATTTTCTCATGTTTTCGGGTAAGACTTTAATTAAATGCCGACATCGCGATGGCTTAGTGCAGGCAATACATATAAATGAAGGGTATGGGCAACTAAATGCTTTGAGACAGACATACCAAAGTAAATGTTTAAGTTTATTGAGATAGATATAATCACGTCGTGCTGAATTTGGTTACGGCGCCAATATGCATATGCATTCACATATTACCCTAACTACAAATATTTGTTTAATTGTTTTTTTTTTTTTTCATCAATACCAATTTTCTAATATATACGTATCTAACATGACCACACCTAAAATATGTATCTGCATCTGTTTTGTTTATTATGCATAAATATACAATATTAAGTTTTTAAATTTTATTTTTGGGGTTAACCAAGACAAACCATTAAAACAAAATCAGTTTTACATTAACAGATTAATTAGGTCTAGTTAGAGCCTCAACCAATCGACCCATGGAATATATAGACACTTGAAAAACATTTAAAGTCTTATATTTTGTGGGAATTTGAATTTTCATATATATATATATACAGCACGAAAATCTATATATTTAATACAAGTGGTTTGTTTTTGGCATTGTGTTTTTTAAATAGTCTAATATAAAACGTGAGAAATTCAACAAAAATGTCACTCGACAATTGGCTTCCAGATTTAACGTCGGCCTCATCGACATGTATGCTTTTATTTTTCTGTGTGGTTATAAATTTGATAGGTCTTTAAGTATCTATCCATTAGATCTCCCCTTTTGTCGTTTTATATACACTATTATGCATGTACCTAAGCAATTGACTCGCTGTGGTTAAATTCAAGACCGGCACTTCGTTTTTGAACAACTAATCTCGATTACGTACAGTCTACAGACCGGACCACCAATGTTTTGTTGTGGTCCTGATAAATTAATAAATACATATATAGGTTGTAGAGAATTATTCTAATACAAATGTCCTAATAAAATAATAAATATAGGTTACAAGAATTATTCTAGTGTATTTGAAAAGAAGATTCGGATCATCATATATTCATATATCTCGTATATATGAATATATGTCTAAACGAACTGAGATGCATATGAGCCTGACTTGCGTTTGTGTTTTGTTGCTGTTGAAAATTTGTGTTAATTAAGTATATATATATATATATATATATATAGCATTAAGCATAACAATTTCGTTTTAGTAAAAACATATATGTACGCTAACACTAATTAAAGTTTTATATTATAGTCATGTAAAACAAACAATTTTATTTTTGCAATGGATGAGATTTTTAGTTCTGGCGAAAGTGGATGGTTTTCCAACTGGTTTATGGCGCAACTTGTACCACTATAATTGATTAATTTTTGACATATAATTTTGAAAGTTACTAAAAAATAAAATAATAATAATAATGATGCATGCATTTATAGTTTTCTCTTCTCTCTATATATAGGGCTAGCTTGTTACTCCTTCACTCATTCTCAGCCTCCTCCTTTATCTCCCTTTATCAACTAAGTAACCAAAGCCATGAGCATCATCCAAGACTGGCCTGAGCCTATAGTCCGTGTCCAATCCTTATCTGAAAGCAACCTCCGAGCCATACCAAACCGCTATGTAAAGCCTCTATCTCAGCGTCCAAACATAAACTCTCACAACAAACACAACCCTCACACCACCACCACCATTCCCATCATTGACTTAGGTGGCTTGTACACAGACGACATAACTCTTCAAGCCAAAACACTTGATGAGATCTCAAAAGCTTGTAGAGAGAGCGGTTTTTTCCAAGTGGTGAACCACGGGATGAGTACGCAGCTCATGGACCAAGCTAAAGCTACATGGAAAGAGTTCTTTCATCTTCCCATGGAGCTCAAAAACATGCATGCTAATTCTCCCAAAACTTATGAGGGATATGGAAGCCGACTAGGCGTAGAAAAGGGTGCTATTCTTGATTGGAGCGATTACTATTTTCTTCACTACCAACCTTCGTCTTTGAAGGATTACACCAAGTGGCCTTCCTTGCCTCTTCATTGCCGGTACATATCGTTTCAAATTTTCTTCTTCTTCTCTTTTTTTTTTTTTTTTTCTTTTCAAAATTTTCTTCTTACTTCGTTTTAATATTTTTATTTAAGGGAATTTATTCATGTTTATGAATCTTTTTCTTTAAATTTCTAACTCTTACTTCAAGCTATCTCTGAAACCTAGGATATTTTACAATTATAACTATCTTTCTGTATAATATATATATATATATATATATATATTCATCTTATATATAGAAAGCCAAATCGACGTATACTAGTCCGACTTTTTAGTGGAATATTAATTTTATAACGCAAACACATGTGACGAATATACTATAGTTGTTCGATCGAGCTATAATAATCTTCAATTTATTAAAGAGATTAAAAAAAAAGAATCCAAAAAAGTTAATTATTGTTTCTTGACATTGAATTATATATATAGGGATATAATAGAGGATTACTGCAAGGAAATGGTGAAACTATGCGAGAGTTTGATGAAGATATTATCGAGAAACTTGGGATTAGAAGAGGACATGCTTCAAAATGCGTTTGGTGGTAAAGAGGAATCAGGAGGATGTTTAAGGGTTAATTATTACCCGAAATGTCCTCAGCCGGAGTTGGCCCTCGGCCTCTCTCCCCACTCTGATCCCGGTGGGCTGACCATTCTCTTGCCGGACGAACAAGTAGCCGCTCTTCAGGTTCGTGGATCCGACGACGCTTGGATCACAGTCGAACTAGCTCCTCATGCTTTCATCGTTAACATTGGTGACCAAATTCAGGTGACTGTTTTATTTGGTTCTTTTTATCCATATTAATCACTTCTTTTTTCGTTACCTAAGAGCACCTCCAATGGTAAGCATCATTGGAGGGTGCTAATCAATTTTGTAAAATTAAATTTTCAAAAATAGTGCTTGTGTGTTGCTTATAATCACAATTTAATCTATAGTGCTTACAATATTTTCTTTTTTTATGGTTATAATCATTACATATAATGATAAGCAATATGTTAAAAATACATTAAGCATCTCTATTGGAGGTGCTCTAATCATACTTTTCAATCGATCCCTTGATAATAATTACTAGCTTGGGTTTTTCATTATTAAACTAAAAAATATAAAAAATAAATGAATAGAAAGTAATAATCACGTGGAGGGGACTTAATAATATTCATCTTCTTTTTTCATTGAAGTTGTTAGTTTTTTATAAAGCACGTGCATGCATCTTTCTTCTTCTTCTTCTTCGTTGTTTTTTCTTTTTCTTTTATATATAATAAAATTTTAATGGGTAATAATAAGAAGAAAATATAAAGTTGATGGGAAATAAAAATAACAATAAGGTATTGGTGAAACCACGTCGCGATATTCATTTCCGTTCTTTAATTCGACATGTGCCTCTATTAATGGAAAAAACATAAAGAAGAAGAGGTCCATCGAGTCCAACAAAAGGAACAGGAAAAAACAATTTCAACGACTAAGACACAAACTCACACAATTGTTTACATGTTTCGAACGTGCTATAACTAAAAACCGCCGACTTAGTCAAATCATTTTGTTCTGTCTTTCTTCGTTTTGATATTAATTATACTATTAGCCACGTATCTCTATAGTTTGTTGTATTGATAAAATATTAAATGAACGTTGATTAACATTTTGTGTTTTTTTTTGTTTGGTAAGAAGATGCTGAGCAATTCAATATACAAAAGCGTAGAACACAGAGTGATCGTGAACCCTGCAAACGAGAGGTTGTCGTTGGCGTTCTTCTACAACCCAAAGGGAGATGTTCCGATCGAGCCGTTGAAGGAGCTAGAGACCGTAGATTCACCAGCTCTCTACTTATCCACCACATTCGATCGCTACCGTCAATTCATTCGTACGCAAGGCCCACGTAGCAAATGTCAGATCGAGGAACTTAAATCCCCTCGATAGTAGAATCGTGTCTACATTTTGAAGTTTTAATAGTTGTTTTATGTTTTCTTGTCGTATAAATAATGAACAATGCTTTTATCTGTTAAGTACTGTATTATATATATCTTGTGTTGTATTATGAGGATGCTTGCATTATGTTTTTAGGGTATGGGTTTGATGTGTGTTTTTCTTCTGTTTTTTTATTTATATAAATATGTTTACATGTTAATCTAATAATATATTTGTTTTCAAAATATTACCGGGGATTATGTTTATGCCAAAATATCAGTGTTGAATGATCTCCACATATGATTTAATACGAACCATATATAAAAGTTTATGAACTTTTAATTTGACCTCTTTCGGCTCAACCAATAGAAGACAGCACCAACTAGCGTTCCAGCTGCAGCCCCAGCAGAAAAGAGCACGTTAGGCAAGCTTCCCCTTCCAACACAAGTAGTATCGTCATTGTTTGATATAGAAGGTTCTGATCTGTTACTTTCGACGCAATTGACATTTCCATCTGATAGGAATTCCCAAAGATATTTCGTATCTACGGCGCTGCTGGGTCTTCAGGCTGGGCCAAGATAACATAACATTGTGCCTTTTCAAACGCAAACGGTGGAAAGCAATTACGAACTCTATGTTTTGTGAATGTCTCTCACGATTAGCATCATGTTTGTTGGAAGATAATTTTCTGCAGCCCAGAATGACATTTCCACTGTAATAATCCTAAGCCTGTCCTCTCTAGAGACTGAAATTATAAAAAAACGCATATCAAGAGTCAAGACATATATAAGAGTGATATCTATATAGAGGAGAGTTTATAAAGAGGAAACTTGTATGCTTCTCAGGTTTCTCTTGAAGTTGGATTGAGCGAGATGTTGAACGATGAGTTTTGACCTCACCTCATGCAAATGCATCCAACCCACTATAATCTTTTTCCAATGCTATGTAACGTACGTACACTACAAGAAAAACATGAAATTCCTACGACCGTTTGGGTAAAAATATGGTAGGAAACAGACGTTTCTTACCAAATTCCTACCAAAAAAATGGTAGGGAATCGCCCGTAGGAAATCGAGGATGGAAAGATTATGGTAGGAAATTTCCTACCAAAATCGTGCCGAAGAAAATTGTGAAGGTAACTTTGAAGGAAAAGGGAAGGGTAGTTCTGACGTGTTTCCTACCACTAGTGGGAAGGAAAAACGATACCTTCTAATTTCCTTCTAAACGCTTTCCTTCCAATTTCCTTCGAAACCACGTTTCATTCTACTTTTCTTCGAAACTATTTCCTTATGTTTTCCTACGAAAATTTAATTCCTTGTAATTTCCTACGAAATGTTTCATTCCAGTTTCCTACAAATTTCCTTTAGCTTTCCTTCAAACGTCGACCCTGCAACATTCCTTCGGATACTTTGGTAGGAAATAATAAATATCCAATAACTAAATTATTCTCGTTTTCATCGATTGTTAATTATATAATTCACCAAAAAATATATTTAAAACGATTTAGATAACAGAAAAGTATTTTACACAAACGTCAATATTACAAACAAAGTTTAGAAAAGCAAATCATCTAAAACAGAGACAAACAACCATAAAACCATAAAAATGTTGAAGATTTTTAAAAATTAGAAATTATTACTCTTGAGTCTCATCGTCGTCATCTTGAGGATTCTCCGGAAAAGTAGGTGGCCGCAGATCAGGAAAGCGTTGGAAGAGAAGCTTGTTGCATTCCATTAGATACTTGATTTGAAGATCTTTCTCTACTTCACGTGCCTTCAACGTTTGAATCTCTTCTCGTAACTTGGGAATTTGGCGCGGAGTTCCCGAGGAAGACGAGCATCCTTCATCCAAAAGAGTACAAAGGCCGTAGCGTTTTCCTCTAACCTTTGGAACAACCTGTCAAGTAAACAAACCAAAAATCTTCATCGTTGTTTGAAAGTTTGCAAAAGAAAAGCTTAAAGGGAGGAATATAATTCGTACTTACTTTACTCATAACAGAGTTAATCTCCTCAGGTGTAAGAGGATTAGACTGAACCGAGTCTTCTCCTTCGGTTTGACGTTGCGATTGGAGGAGCTCTAACTCACTTGTAGCCTTCTCGAGATACTGCTTTGTCTTCAAGTCACTTATTGTGCGTGTCTTCTTATCCAAGTGTGTGTGTTCCATAAAGTGTAGAACATTAGGCTCCTCACCTAACTCACTTGTCTAACACATACAAACAAAACAATAAGAGAAAGACATTAGTCACTCTTGTTAACCGAAAAATGTTTAAGTACACATATATGGAGAGAGAAGTGGTAACTAGTTAAAGAAATCTTAATAATAACATGTACTAGAAAACGTGTATAGTAAACGTGTAGAAAACATGTACTAGAAGTCTTAATAATAACATGTACTAGAAATCTTAATAATAACATGTACGTGTGTTATACACGTTCATGCATGCGTGTGTAAATGTTACAAAATTGATAGAGTAAACGTGTGTTATACATGTGTTCACTAGTTACTAATATGCATAAGTTAGAAACACAAACCAGATTATTTAAAACCAAACGTTAACCAGATTTGTGAGTCACAAGTATGCTTGTTGTTGGGATGAAAAACCAGAAAAACCATATTGAATCGTTGTAAGAGAAAAGCAACCAAAGAACAGATTTAAGAGTTCTAAGGTTATTAAGCAGAAAATCAGAAGTTACTAACCATTTCATCCCAACGTCTTTCAAATGTTTTTGCCCCGTCGTTGTGTTTAGCAACACCTAATCCACTTCTTTGACTGCCTCGATTCTTAGAGTTTTTGACAGCTTGCTGCACCTTTTTATCATCTTTCCACATCTTGATATAACCATCAAACAAACGTTTCCTCGCCTTCATCCAGTCCGGTAAACCATCAGCACCTTTATTCAGCCATGTTTTCTTCCACTCACGTAAGTTTGATTTGAAAGAAGCTTTTGCTTGCTTCATGTATTCTGTTCGGACATTTTCATTTATGCTCATGTCCCAGTGGAACTCTTGCTGTACAAAAAACAATGAGTTAGTACATACAATTGTGTTTACAAATGACTTAAAATATGTAGGAAAGGAATTAGCTACTTACCGCAAAAGCTCTAAACCATCGGTTTTTTATTTCTGGTGGTAAAGAACGATAAGTGGGATATGGTTTAGGGAGATCCGATTTAAGCATCTTTAGAATCTGCTTTGTAATCTTCATAGTTGGATCCCGTCTAAACCTGTAAAACAACAAACCGTGTCTGCCGGTTAAGCCTCGGTAAATCATCCAACGAGTAACTAGGACTTGTGAAATCATAACGACGTTGATCTTCAGCCATGTGTTGGAGGAAATCCTGGCGACTACGCGGCTGAAATAATAATTCAAATCATCAAAATTATCACAATTGGACAAAATACAGTTAAGGAACACAACAAAGTTGACCACAATTCAACACAATATGAGACAATAAATGTACTTACTCCCAGCGAGTAAGTAAGAATTTCCCAGAGCGTGCTTACATACTTAGACAGAAGAAAATAACACATTAAACACCATCAGTCTGAAACTTCCTGCTAGTAATAAACCTATCGAAATAGTTAACAACTAAAAGAAGACTCATCACGACACATAACCAGAAACTCATCAACGAATTAAACCCATAATGAGATTTCACTTTAAAAATCCAATCAAGACCCTTTTCACGACACATAACCAGAAACTCATCACCTAAGATAGAAACCTTAAAGACTCGGTATTGTTTTGCAGTGAGAAGCAATTTTGGACAGAACACACATAAGTAATATTTGAACAGAAAAACAGTTACACACTACAATTACAGACAGCCAATGAACAACAAATATGGTTTTAAGCGAACACAACGAAGGAAATAATAAATCTAACCCAAACACAACAAAGTCACTTACTGTCAAATTCAGAGGTGGGACAGGAGACCATGAGTTTTCTTCTGCCCTCCTTTGACTAGGTTGCCTACGGTTCGCCATTGAAGACAAAGGAGATTTGTTTCTTTGTAATCTACAAGTAAGAAAGAAAGAAGAGGAGATATGTTAGAAGTTAAGAGGAATAGGAAGAAGAAGAAGAGATAGGGCGATTAGATTACAAAGTAGAGCGTGAGATGTGAAACAACCAGGGTGAGAAACGAAAAGGATTAATGATCCGCCGGTGAGAGGGTAGGTACGACGGCGAACTCGTCGGAGAGAGGACAAATCGGCGCAGGTTACAAGTTTTTGTTGAAGGTGTGTGATTACAGAAGTTTCTTTCAACGGCGGTAGAGAGAAGAGAGTGAAAAAAGTGTTAAGTCTTTAGGGTTTCTGTTTTTTGTTAATGGATCTATATTTGGCCCGTTAACTAATTTTCTGGCCCAAATTATAAATATTCAAAATCAAACTTTTGTGTGAGAGGGCCCAAATTAGATGGTGGAATTGTGGAATTAAACAATAATACTAGTTTAACAAAACAATGCTTTTAAAATTTTAAAATGTAATATAAGTTTACTGTAAATATGTGGGATTATTAATGAAAATTAAGATTTTTATAGTGTTAGAAAACAATGGTTTTTAATTTTGCAAACTGAATATAGTTTTAGTGTAAATGTGTGGGAGTAATACTAGTTTAAAAAAAAACAATGATTTTAAAAATTTAAAATGTAATATAAGTTGACTGTAAATATGTGGGATTATGAATGAAAATTAAGATTTTAATAGGTTGTGTTAGAAAACAATGGTTTTTAATTTTGCAAACTGAATATAATTTTAGTGTAAATGTGTGGGAGTATGATTTTAGTGTAATTTTAATTTTGCAAACTAATTATAGTATTCTCATGTTCTACAAAGGAATTCATATTTTCTCTATAAGCATCATGCACCATTTGAACTGTTTCAACCTCTTCTTCCCTAATAATAGATTCCTCTACCCTTTCTGGTGCATTTCCACTAGAACTACCCACATGATATGCATCTTTTTCCCCATGATAAAACCAAATTTTGTAACTCGACATTATTCCATCTCTATAGATATGACCCCAAACTAAATCCTTATCGATAAACTTTTTATTATTACAACATGGACAAGGACAAAACATCATACCACTTCTCAAGCAGCTTTCCTGATTCATAGCGACATGCATGAA